ATTTCCTTAGGAAGTACTGATGGCCTGTATAGTTGGGATGTTCATAGATCATCCAGCAGCCAGTTTCCACCTTGATAGAGTTGCAGCAGTTGAGGTGGGCAATGCAGTTCTGGATGGTCTGTGGTGGCTTTACAGGAGCAGCCCTCAAAGTCTCTGTCCTCAAAGAAAGTGATCTGCAATAAACAAAAGTAACCCCAGTCACACTGGAAAGTATTTGAAAGCTGGCTTTGCTTTGCCTAGATTGTGCAAAACAATCCAAAGACTGCAAGGTCCACAGGGGTACTTCTATCGGACCCAAAGACTAGCAAAGTCTTTATGTCCATTTTCTACAGGAGGTACAGATGGTTACTGGTGTCTTCATTTCTCTAGTACTGCAAATGACAGGTGGATGTCCCTTTGGGACTCTGGGAAGTGTGAGGCAACTTTCATCAGGATTTCATGATGGAAATAACCTGTCAGCAGCTTCATGACAAGTTTTTGGGAGCATTTGGAGAAAGTGAAACCCAAATTGCCTTTTGACTAACAGCTCCATGGATGACTTCAGTGTATCACGCAATCATTCAACTTTGTGCCCATCTCCTGCACCCAGTCCTGGGCTCCTAGAAATCTTCTGGAACGTAGAATACAGACAAAGGAAGGAATAATTCTCCTACTTCTGAATTGTGCTGAAACTTTCAACTCTTTTGATGATACAGGAACAAAACAAGACTGTTGTGTCCAACCCGAGTTAATCATTGAGCACTCTAGGTCCTGTTGGGCAGCTATATCTTAGCAGCAGTAAAATCAAGTTAGAGATACTTAAATTCAGCGGTGTCGTTTGGTGATATTTATTATATTTGTTTGAGTTTTTCAAACTTATTTTCTTGTACATCTTAGAAGTCTAAGAATATATAAACTTTAGGTCTCTTTCAGCAGCTGACGAACTCAAAGGGAAACTAGCCAGACAGAAAAATAAAACCAAAATATTTTAATATGTAAATGTTTTAGCATTTGAAAGCTTGCAAGTACACTATAGGTTTTCTTTAGGAAACTTATCAAGAGCTAGATAATAAAACAACCACTCAAGGTTTCCCGCCTGCTAATTTGTTGGTAGACCAACAAACTATGTTTGCAAACATACTTGCCTACAAGGAGCTATTGCATGTGCTAGGTTGTTTGTCAGTGCTCCATTCACTCAGCTGTTCTTACCTTTGCCATTTTTACTAGGGTTTAGTTGTGAGATCTCAGCATGCAGGAGTTGTTAGCAGTCCTTTATATAGGATGCACAGTGCTGCATCCACAGGAATAGGACAAAAGATAATTTTTTGCTCAGTAAAGAGAATGAATGGTTTGTTTTTTTTTTCCCTCCCTCCATTGTCATTCTCTAAATGAGGCAATAGCAGGAGTTTGTGGGGTACCACCTTTATTGTTATTGTCAATAAGCAGAGGATCAGAGTAAAGGGTAGGTCAAGCAATATTTCTGTTTTTTTACTGATGGAATATGTGCAAGCAAAAGTGCTGGAAATGCTGCAGCAGAGTTGTTTCATGTCTCTTTATTTTTAATCACTCTCCATTCCCTGATTGTATCAGACAAAGTGGTTTTTTAATGCAAATGGATTCCCAGTGATGATATTGTAAAACAGTAATGGTGAAATGGTGATTTCAGGAAGCTGCAAAACTTCAGGGGCACATCTTTAGCTGGCCTGTTTTTACACAGCTCTAGTTGTGCTTCTAATGGGTATTGTAAACAGTATCACTCCTGTTAGCCTCTCTCTTGGGGGTGCTTCCTCAACCAGGAAATTATAGCCTTTAACACTGAAAGCAGACTGAGGGAAGAGTGTGAATTTAAGTCTGGCAGTTATTTCTGAATACCCCCATGCTTTCTTTGGATCAAAAATAACTTCTTCCTGGTGGTTAATGATAAGCAAATTGAATTCACTTACAGGAACAACTTCTTTGTGCAGGCCTGTGCTTGCATTTCTCAAAGATCTTTGACAGGCTCTGAAGTGTTACACTTTTTTTTGTTCTTGCCATGATCTTGCTTGCTCTGTGGAGCTGGCTTGTCTTTTTGGTCCCGTACGGTGCTTCATAGTTTAACACAGTGGGCACTGGGCTTGGTGATGAAGTTTGGAACTTGAGAGACCAGAGTAGGGGCAGTGATATGTGAATTCCTTACTGTAACTACAAATGCAGAGCAGCCATCATGGGTTAGATCGGTGGTCCAGCTAGTCACAGCAACCGTAACAATGAGTAGGCACTGACAGAAAGGTAGATGTGAAGCAAATACATATGATACTTCATTCCAGCTTCAAGACCTCATGTATTTTAGCTCAAGAGGTCTACTGAGCAGGAGGTTACTTCTCTCTGGTTAATAACTCTCAGTGGATGTCTTCCAAGTACTCATTCAGCTTCTCCTTGAGTCCTGTAGACTTTCCTTTCCCAAGGCCCTATGCTACGGATGGCCTGTGTGCTGCAGGAAGGGCTGAGGGTTGATTTTAAACTCTGGAGCCAAAATGCCTTGTTAGCCAAATGGTATCTGTGGTCTGAGGAGTCTGGTTATTTACATCCGTTACAACTGCCCTCAACTAGTATGCTGTTATGGCACCTGCTTTTATGTGGAGATTAACCACTTTTGCACCCCGGAAACACTCAAGTGTAGGGATAATCTGAAAATAGCAGTGAGTGTTTGTGTAGAGAAACACACCCTGCATGCCAGCAACTGTAGTGCCGGCTACCAACCATAAGACAAGCTACAGGAACCTAGAAGCCACGTTAGCGAAAACTTGGATGCTCTCCGTGAATTCCCAGTGCTCCTTTAGCACCCTTGTTTTTAATGTCTGCTCGAAATTCTCTGAGCATTTGCAAACAAAAGCAAGTAAAACCTCTCAGTGCTCCTTGAAAACTAGGAATTACCACCATTCCTGTCTCAGGTGGAGAAATTTGGAGAGGTTTAGTCATCCTCAAATTCTAGGACACAGCGGAGTCGAGAATCCAGACATTCTAACTATCACTCTGATTGCCAAATAGTACATTTCTGTTCATTCTTGCCTTTGACCAAAGGAATGCCAGCATGTAACCTACACATCACTATGTAGCCATATTTCTCAATTGGGTTAATTGAACTAGATACTTTGTTGGAGTATGTAGGCATATGTTAATTGCTGTCTGGGGAGCTGGTCTGTTTTTTTCTTTATTTTATTCTTGCTGAAGGCAAATGAAATATTTTGGTTCCCTGTTCTAAGTGGGCAAGGAGATACTGTGCTTGAACTGCTGTGTTATTTTGCAGACCTGGGTTAGCATGCTAACTTAAGCAGCTAACACACATATTACTTACGCTGTGCAGTTCCTATAAAGACACGATATTAGGCATTTGTGAACAAGAGGAAACAGGCTTTTTCACACCTCTGCCTTGAGAGCTGAATTGTTCATGCTCCATTTCTCTCTAGCTGAAGCATGGTGTTCTTATGTACACCAGACATTTGCAGCAGCTGAACAGCCTTTGTGCAATAAAGGACAGGCAGGAGGGCAGAGATAGCGTCCCATGTACTAAAGAAAGGACTAGAAGGGCAAAGAATAGTTCTATTTTCCTCTCCAGTGTTGTCAGGGAAAGGCTGGTAAGGATCACTAACAGGCTATTACTGATGGGTCATGTGAGCTTGAAATAATGGCTAAATGAGGTCTCTGACGTTAGCAAGTGGAGATGGGAGTTTTAAGCAGAACACCTTACTGCTGTAGAAGTTGGCTGGTTTTATTCAAGGACTCCATTATCAGAATGTTTACTAGGCAAAACAAAATCAAAGCCCAGCACTTAAAGCCAAGATGAAACGATTTAAAATTAAATGTATACTAGGTAAGGTTGCAGAGTGTCCTACTAGTTCTATGCTCTCTGTACTGCTTTCTCCGTCCAAAAGTCTCCAGCACCTTGGTAAAGAGCAGTAGTGTATTTGCCCAACTATGTGTGGAAAAAATATATCTAGACTCCATTACCTAAATGAGAAGTATGTTAAGATGTGAGATCCCTTAGCTGTGTTTTTTTATATTTTATTATCACTCTCATTCATTATTGCACAGAGTGCCTGCTGGCACAGGAGTCAGCAATGATTAGTAGGCATATACATAATTACTTGAATGATAATTAATGCTGCAACAGACTTTTCCCAGCACAATGAGATGTTGTCCTGTTTCTAATTCACAATGGTATACTTATTTAATTCCTCTTGCATGCAGAATAGCCTGGCAGTTGAGGGATTTGGCTAAATCTTCTGCAGCAGATCAGCACAGCTCTGAAGTTAGTAGAGACAGGGTGATTGACACCAGCTAAACATCTAGTGCATGAAGTACAGGTCCACTAAAACATGCTATATAAAGGTGGTATGATTTAAGGATCTGCAAAAATTATTTCTGGAGGAGTCAGCTGGGATAAGACTGGACAGCTTTGCTGGACTGGTGGTAGCACAGAGCAGCTTGTTTGCATGAAGAATTTGATGCCAAATACGGTGTACACCTTATTCTGAGTTTCTCTCTATTTTTCTGTCATTTTTTGCCTCAGTCGGTACTTCACTGGATATAACTATTAATGGGACTTAGTTTTCTGTTCCACAGTACATGATAATTTAAGTAACTGTTAAAGGTCCACTGCATATTGTTAGCCTTGGTAACTATAGAGCTGGAATCTATTCCTAGATCAAAACTTGTAAAACCGGGGAAAACTTAGATGAAAGGATCAGACCTTCCCATAAATAGCTATATCCAGTGAAGTAATGACTGAGGAGCTCTACACTTACCAGGGTTAGCAATATGCAGTTGGACCTTTAACAGTTATTTATCATGTACTGTGGAACAGCTAGACAATTGTGAATATTTTTTTTTTAAAGTATTCTCCCTTTCCCCCTAAAATGTGAGAGAAATTGGATTTCCCTCTGAACTGCGCAACCTTAATTTGTTTGTAGTACTGAAGGAGGATTCGTTTGAACAAGGATTTTGGAATGTGTTCACTGTTTATTTAGCGTGGGAGCAATAACTCAGTGCAAGTCAGCCAGTCTCTGCAAAGAGACAATTTTGGCATTTACTACACCCCAGTCAAGGACTCTTCTGTATTCCCTAGGTTTCAGTAAATTCTGTTGGCCCCTGACTTTGGGCATTTCATACAAGAGCCAAGAGCCACCTAAAACACTGAGGAAGCAGATCTCAAGGAGATGGATGTAGCCTGGGACTGATGAGCAATCATCAGTGAGCTCTAACATTTGGCCTTGGAGCTCCCCTTTTTCATAGAGCTGAATCATGTGGGAAATGGAATTCTGCAGTGGCAAATACAGCAAAAACGTAGGAAAGATAAATTGAACTGATTCTGAACAAGGCAGACATACAGAAAAAGCCAACTTTCCCAGCTACTATGCACATTTCTGAGAAACTCTGTTCTGTTCTGGAAATGGGATTGTGAAAAGATTAAGTCTTTTGAGGAGGTTTAATTCGTGCTTACATGGAAGAGCTCAGGAGTGCCAGCAAATGGGTATGATCACATCTGGTAGGAAATAAATGGAGGATGCTTTATGATTTATGATTTGAAGAAATGGTATTTATAAGGACTCTATATTGTGGCAATAAGAGACAATGTATCCATGTGACTTTGAGATGATCTGTGGTGCTTACCCATGACCAGGCATGAATAATGTGGCCTTTTCAGAATTATGCCACTAAAAGACATGTACCATGTTACTCTGTATGCTTCCATTATACACCGTGTGCAGGCAATTCCCACGTGGCAAACTGCTGAGCTATGTGAAGCGTGGGCATGTGGAGTGTTCCTGCTGCTATGGCTTATACTGTATAGTACATCTTACTAATCAGAGAAGTACTTTAGCAAGTATTAATTCTTTGCCTGATTTTAACTCAGCTTTTATGTTAGGAAAGCCATACCCATTGCAAATCTGATTTAACATGTTCTTGTGTCATTGAATCATAATGTAGTATGGTCACGAGTAGGTTGCATACATCAGCCCACAGCAGAACTTTATATCAGCTGGCCCTGCTAGCCCTTCCCTGGGCAATGTAAAAAACATTCTCTACCTAGAAATAGTCACTCAGCTTTCTTTTAGCATCTTCAAGTTATGAGCAGGGCCTGGAAATAGCACTGATATTAAACAGATTATTTCCTTCATTTCCAGTGAAACTTTGCATTGCCTTACTGAACTTTGCCTGTCTCTCAAGTTACTCGAAGAGGCTGTATAACTATATTTGTAAAGGATAAACTATAACAAATTTTTAAACTCTGACACACTGCCAAGCAGAACTCACTTGTAGGATTACATGGTAAGGCCTGCTGGAGTCACAAAGTTGCAGAATCACTTCTGGAAGTCAGGATAGTCTCCCTTTTTTAAAAAGTACTGGTGTCCTGAGTAGTTGGGGTTCTCATGAATCATCCAGCTGCCTTTTTCCACCCAGATGGAACTGCATTGTTTCACATAGGACTGCAGGTCAAGGTAGTCACTGCTACATTCATAGCAGTGGCCCCAGAAGCTCTTGTCTTCATAAAAAAAAAGATCTGCAATACAAACATTTGCAAAGACTCATAGTCCATCCCAGTGTCTGTGTCAGAGCAAGGTAGTGGCATACTGGGGCTTCCGCTTACCTTTCCCAGTTTTGGCAGTTTGCTGAGATGAAAGCTGAGAGCTGTGAGCCAACACTGTGGTTGCTTTTATATACCATAGTCCTAATGCTGCATCTGCAAAAAGTAATACAAAAGGGCCCATTCTAAGCTGTGGGGAGATCTCCTGTTTTGTCTTTGTTGTAGTTACAGCATTTATTGCATTTACCATGTGGTACCTTTATTTTTGTGGGTTTTGGGCTGCATTTGTTGATGTTATGTGCAAGTGGATTATTGTGCAGCTGTGGAGTGGACTACACTTCCAGCCGGTATTGACTGTTTCATGTGGTGCACCTGAGCCAATGCAGAGTGTGTGTATAAGAATGGCTCTTTACAGAACCTCCTTTGCCTGAAAGCTATTGAACTCAGCAGACCTGAGCAGTTTCTGGCGTAGGTCTCTTCCTCCCCTTCCCCACTCTGTGCTGACTACCTCTTGCCTAATTTTCTCCTATGGTAATTTTTCCTTTTGTGAGAGCAGATGAACTCTGCTTCAATTTCAATACTTTGTTACCTGCTTTATCCTGGACACAGGAAAAGTCTCATAACATCTCACATGGTGTTGTTAGCTTTTTCCTACTAATCCCTTCTATTGTGTACAGATTTTTACACAGACGTATTAGGAGGAAATAGTGATTAAAAGTTTCAGTCCCTTCCTGGTGTGTGGTTAACTGCTGCATCCCTGAAGACTAAAAGATTGAAATCAAATGGTTCTTATTAGATGTTTATTAGTGTATCTGAATTACTGTCTAACATTGTAAATAAGTCTGGGTCAGTTGGTTCAACTTTTTCCGTTTGAAAGTCTGTTTTAAATATTCCAAGGGAGCAAGCTGCATTAAACTAAAGTTGCTCTCAATCTGGAACCAGGAAGGATTGTTGTTTAATGCTAAAGCTGAGTGCTCCAACACTAAAGCACAGCTGGTAGGTTACAGAAAACTGTATTCCTCCACTGTGGAACTTTTCCTCTGTTGTTTTTTTCTTGTTTGGTGCAGGGCTGGAACAAACCTTGACTTGTTCTATTCTGATTATCATTTTCTTGCGCCTAAATCTTAGATTTTTAAAAACAAACTACTTCATGGAATATACAAAGCTAGTTATACAAATGTCTTGTATCACCAGTAGGTGAGACTTCAGATCAAAAGAAACAACTGCACTCCAAAACCAGATTTATAATCTTATGTATTTGGGGAAACTCATTCAAGCACGTAAAGACCTTGTCAACATGATTCATCAGTTAACTTGGCATGCAGATGAACACCTTTGTAGGTCTACTTTATTTTAAAGAGCTCTATTTACAACTACATAGTCTCCACCTCTGGTGGAACAAATGAGTGTTTGTGGCTCTAAGGAGGGAGAGCAAGGCAGGGTTTGGGAGACCGTGGGGCAGAGCTTTGCTTACAGTGTTTCAGGCCAAAGAAAAGGGCTTTTAGTGCTGTAGCAAGAAAGACAAGAGTGTTTTCTGAGGAAAAGGATAGGGAGAATATGAAGCCTCCACCCTCATATCCTTCCATCACAAACCACTTCAGTGATGTTGTTTTTAACTGTATCCTTATTAAATGACAGGGGCTAATGTGCACTTACAATTTCCAAAAAGGTTAGATACCCTCCTGTCCTCTTCAGTATATTCAGCTCTATTCTTCCAAGCTTTCTAGGTTACCTCAGACCACCTGCCTTCATCCTGTTGGATTTCCTTGTTATGATGTTTGCTGGACTGTTGATTTGACTTGATGTGCTGTTGCTATTACTGTAAATACAGTGTTTGGGGCTTGATTTTTGTCTGCTGGCTGTCTGGGTTGCTGACCTGGACTCAGTGGAACTGGCAACCGGCAGTGTGAGCATGCAAGAAATACTACAGAAAGTTAGTGCAAAGTTGTCACAGTGCTTTAATGTCACATCTGACTCTATTTCCAAGTGTAATCCCTTGTGTATAGAATCATAGAATCACTTACGTTGGAAAAGACCCTTTAAGATCAAGTGCAACCATATGGCAAACTGGTGGGTAGATCTTTGGGATGATGAATGATGTAGAGAAAGTTACTGCTGCATGGACTGCACATGAGTGCTTTGAACAATGGATGTTAATGCGAGTCCCCATGAAAGGCCACAAAGTCTGGCCCTGGATGTCTATGGCAAATGCACCACATACTTGCTTCACATAAATGGATTATGTGTTTAGCACTGGCAGTGGGAATACCTGTGTGCACGTACCTGGCAGGTCACTTCCGTAACAGCACCTGACCTGGTGACAGCAGAATTTGGTAGTTGGTGTTCTCTCTGACTCTTGCTGTAAACAAACTCCTTTTTGGAGCCAGTCTGGGCTAGTTCCTGTTTTGAGCACCAATAACCATTCTTAGATATAGAAAATGCAGCAGAAATGTGTGATCTTTCAACCATGACTCCCAACATGAAGCCAGCATCCTTTACATTGTTTTAGAGAGATTGAATAAAACTGAATTTCCCATTGCTTTGACTCTGGTATTTGCTCTTGCTGCTGGCTGCCTCCTGAAGATACATGGTCCTATGCACTTAATATATCAGATTCTGTCCTGACAAAACTGATTCTTTTCAGAACAGATTGGTGCTGATATTTTTGTCCTACAGATAAACCAATCTCTTGCACAAAATGGGTATATTGCCATTCCGAGACGGATGCTAGATGTTTTCACCTGACATTTGACTAGGAAAAAGCTCTTCATCAAAATGAGTGAGAGTTTTTTGGGAATAGATAGAGAATCAGTAGTGACGTGTCTGAAGTCAGGACTGCTGTAGCAGAAATGAAGGGGAAATGGGGCTTGCTTGCATGGGCAGCACTCTAGTAACTCTGGCTATGGTCTAAAGACTCTGACTTACAATGGGGCAATTTAAGAAGTCAGCACCTCTGGTCCTGCAGGCAGTGTGTCTGTGCCTCAGCTGCTGTGTTGTTCACAGCCAAGAGTTTTAGCTGAAACCATCTGATTTCAGCATCATAAACTGGGCTGTGAATTGCAGCACCAGGTTGCCACCACCACCATGAGTTCTGAAATTTGTGACTCTGCATGTCATCTGAGCTTAGAACTATGTCCACTGATTTCTGCGTAGCTAAGAAAAGATTTTGAAGTTGTCCTGGATAATTGGTCTGGTCTCAGCAAAGCCTTTTTTTTTTTTTTTTTTTTTTTATTCAGGAGACAATATAGCTCAGGAAAGGAGGAAATTTCAGTCAAGGTAGAAGGCAGCTCTCATTGACCAGTCCCACTGTGCACACGTCTACAAGTACCTTTCAGCTCCCTGATTTTGGCTGTCGGAAAGTGTGAACAGCAAACCACCCGATCTGCTGGGCTTGATTTTTGTGTGCAGACCATCAGACATCAGCCAGCCAACAAGGGAGGGAGTAGTGAAGGGGCAGGTACTTGGACTCTGAAAATGAAACACTGTTATTCTGCTTATTAGCATAGCAAGATTTCTGTTGCTTACTCCTCTTAACTCCACCAGCCTTATCTATAAAAACCAGGAAGTATTAGCCAGTGAAAAGTGAAGACCATGGCAGTACTGTAATAGTGAAGACAGCACTTGGAATAACATGTCTAATCACCTATTTGTTAAAGTCTTACTGTTTATTTTATTGCAGGTCAGTGAACAAAAATCAGTCATGAGATGTTAATCTCTCTCTAGCTGTTTAATCTTAACAACCCCCTTGTCATTGTTCTCCTACTCACATGCTCAGCAGCAATATTCCCTCCTCCCCTCTTGTAATGACCTCATTTCAAAGTACAATTTCTCTCTGCTTTGGCTTTCAAGGGGTCAGACTGATTATCTTTGAGTTGGGCTGAAATTTGCTCAGGTCCTGGCACTGGCTACAGCCTACTGCTCTATTGAATTTGTTTGCAAGTGAATCACAGAATCACAGAATTGTAGGGATTGGAAGGCACCTCGGGATCTCCACTGGTCCAACTCCCCTGATAAAACAGGTTCCCTATAACAGGTCGCACAGAAAAGTGTCCAGGCGGGTTTTGAACATCTCCAGAGATGGAGACTCCACATCCTCTCTTGGTAGCTTATTCCAGTGCTCTGACACACTTACAGTAAAGAAGCTTTTCCTTAAATTTGTCCGGTGTTCCAGTTTTTGCCCATTGCCCCTTGTTCTGTTACCAGCCACCAACAAAAAGAGCCCGGCCCCATCCATTTGGCCCCCACATTTTAGATATTTATAGACATTGATAAGATCCTCCCTCAGTCTTCTCTTCTCCAGGCTGAAGAGTCCCAGATCTCTCAGCCTCTGCTTATATGGGACATGTTCCAGGCCCCTAATCCTCTTTGTGGCCCTCTGCTGTACTCTCTCCAGAAAATCCCTGTCCCTCTTGAACTGGGGAGCCCAGAACTGGACGCAGTATTCCAGATGTGGCCTCAGAGAGCAGAGGATTAAAAGCCTCTGTTTAGAAGCTGACGGATGCTCTGAGCTCCAGGAATGAGCCTGTGCTGAATGTGACAGGGCAGACCTGTGCCAGCAGTGAACACAGGCCAGGAAGGAGAGGTAGAACTGCTAGATGGGATTGGCTGGTGCGTTCCAGCAGTCCTACTTCCTGCAGGGTGAACTAACCAGGCCAAAACAGCTGATGCTACAAAAATTCATGGCTAAAGAGTTCCTGTGTAAGGGAGAGTGATGTTGTTGTTGATCTTAAGTCCTCTCTAGCCTTCTCATCTGACTTCCTTAGGTTTTGAATTTTGGCCCACATGGCTTGAAAGGAAAGTGCATGGGATGCATGGTAAACAAGCTGTAGTTAGGTCTTTACCCATGGACAGCTTGGAATTTAAAGGATAGGTGTTTACAGCAACTACATTTTATTTTAGACTGATTTTAACAAAATTTGTGATAAGTTATGTTAAAAAAAAAAAAGGCTGTGAACCTGGTGAACTGAAAGCAAGCTTTGAGTCCATGAGGATTTCTAGAAGACCCTTTGAATCTCTGATGGAGTTTAACTGTTTTCAGGCTTTCTTGTATAGTGCTGACTTTTGGTACCTCCATAAATAGGTTCAGTGACTGAGAATTGGCAGGCAGAAGAAGAAGAATTGTTTTGCTTCACAAGTGTTTATTGGTTTTTCCTTTAGCAGATATTTTACATTAGAGTACAGGACCATCTCCAAGGCATGTGAAAATGCAGCTGTACAATATGCGACCATACTTTGGATGGATATCTATCCCCTGGCTAGAAGTAACTGGAAATCTTAATTTCTATCATTTTTATGTGTAAAGAGCTCTAAGGGAGTCTCTATACCCTGCAGTTAGTGTTAAACACACCTCTCAGCAGTGAACACTCTACTTCCCCATTGAGCCTTAAACTTTAATGGAATTAAGTAGATAGAGTCCTATGAAAACATCTCATGCTGTGTGCCCAGGCTTCCAGCAAGAGAGGGATGGGGCAGGAGAACCATGTGTACCTAACTCTTATCCCAAGGCAGAGTTAGTACAAGGATGAGGGATATGACAGCCCATCTAGGAAATGGGGAGTGTTCTTGGGCAGCACAGCATGGATATAACAGAGACAAAGCATTGCAGACCTACAAATGGGGAACAGAAGACAGTTAGGCTTCAGTGCTACACTGGCACTGCAAGGAAAGGGTTTTTCTTTAGCTGAGTCCTCTAAGAACTTTAAGAAAATAAGAAAGCAGGATGGTTCAAGGGGAAAGCTGAAGAAAATGGGATCATCCTGAGCAGCACAACCCTCATGTCACATGCAGGGAAGTTGATTTCTGCTCCATTCTGGATCGTGTGTGGGAGTTGTTGAGCACTGTGCAGAAGAGGAAATGTGCACTCCCTGCCTCTAAAGTGCTGCATCCTCTCTTTGGCTCTGTAAAAGTAGCATGGTGGGTTGAGGAGCAGTAGGGATGCACTGGAAAGTGAAAGCTCCCAACACACTGGCAGGGAAGCAGGAGAGAGGTGGCTAAGGAAAGAGGAGAGAATGTCAGAGTCTTGGAATCAAGATATGAGGGGTGGGAAGGAAGGAATAACTGATAAGATTTTAAAACAAAAAAACCCCTCCTCAAAACACATGTCACAAATGTATTACCAAAGCTAAGGTAGAAGACATCAGTTAGCTCACCTAAAGCTAAATGAGGTACATGAAGTCTGGGTCTTTGTTATGTCTTTGCATCCTTTGCATTCCTTGCTTTTGAATATGTTCCAGGCTTCTCTGGAGAGATTCCTTGTTTTGCTTCTGTAGCTCCCTGCAGGATGCAAATATTAATAAGCACAGCATGCAGGACTGAATCCATCAGGAGAGATGGGGACTGCAGGGCAGATCAGCTTCCCTCCTGCTGTGTGACATGTGATGCACACTGAACTCAGGGCTGTGGAAAGCCCCTTCACTCTACTTGCTCAAGTCCAGCCCTGCTGCTGGAATGTTTTTTCAGCTCTCCTGCTCAGCAGAGTTGGAGCAAACAATAGGCTTTAGCAAATCATGGACAAATAGAAAGGCAGAGCCTAATTCATGTATATGCTAGGCTAATCTGACATTACTGGGTTCTTGATCTTCAACTTTTTTTTTTTTAGACTTAAAAGTGATAGCAGTGAATGTGTTTTGCAGGGATATTAGCCAGAAGGGTGCCTTTCATGTGTACGTTGAATATTATTGGAGTTGCCTTTCCAGTTCATGAGTAACACCTCCTGCCAAGGTATGATACAGTCGCTGTGAAAGGCCAATTTAGGATTAACACTATATTATAAATTAGTGCTACTATGAAACATTGCATGCTAAAGAGTGCTGAGAAGGGCAGATGAGAAAGGCTTTGTGGGCTTTTGAGTGGCTGGAGGTGCTGTGACATTCAGTGGTAGTGTTGCAAAAATGGTTTTACCAGCTTGTGTGAATTCTTTAGACCTACTTTGTCAACCTGTTGCTTTCCCCTGCTCAGTGAGTCCAGTTGCTTGCTGTCCTTTTTAGCTCTCCTTGCTGAACAAGGGTTGGTCTTTTGAGACGCTGCTGCTGTCTGGTACTTGATGCCTTGGGAGGGAGAAAGTCTCACATCATCTTGGGCTTACTAAGTGCCACCAGGGTGGTTTACAGACTCACTGCATGGGATCAGTTGCAATATATGGTTGGAGGTAAGGGGTCACAGCTTCAAATTCCCTAATGCTCCTGAAGTTACTCCTGTATTTGCTGTACTTGGAGAAGAAGCAGGGAAGGGAGGGTGGCTCTTTCACTGGGTGGTAGTATAACTGACCTTTGCAAAAGTTCTAGTATTAGTTCAAGCTTAAGAACAAACAAGTGATTGTCAGACATGAAGGCTGATTTTACTAGAAATGTGTAATCTTATTGTTTACCTCAACTTGAGGAAAATGCTTCTTTTGTAATTGTCATGAACTTCAGGAGCTTGAACTACACGCTATTTCTAGGCTACAAGGAGAAAAATGCCTGTACCTCCCCCCCGCAAGAGAATAGGCATAGACCAAGGCTTACGCTATCCATCCCATGTGCAGCTGTTGAAGCTCAGCAGGCTGTAACTTGGTGGCTCTGCTGGGCCAAGTGCTGCTGCCCCATCTTATTCTGCCCTGGCCTGTGGGAGTTGGGGTAACATGTGCTTACTTTGCTTCCAGGCATACTCTGCAGCTTCAGGGGCAGTCAGCATAGCAAATGGATGCAGGGACAACTTGAAAGGTTGAATCCAGTGGTCCTAGAAGGACAACAATTCATAGATTAGTATGTCTGCAGAAACATATGTGCCAGTCTAAATGGGCATACTCTTTTGTGGTCAGCAGAAAGTAAAATAACTGCTTTAGAGGTCCTGATGGATACATGAGCGCAACTTTGCTGTCAGTTTTTGTCCTGGCCACTTGGCTAACCCAGATTCTTGAAGTGCCCATCCCCACTGCCCAGACATTTCAGCTGTCCACACGGTAGCTGAATGCTGGATTTTATAGCCCTGTATGTACTGGTGCAGCCTGAGGATCATGGTCTGCCATAACATCCCAGTGGGCAGCTTGCAGCTGCTCAACTGTTCATGTGGCAGCTCCTGAAATGTCTGGACAATGGAGTAGGACACTTTGAGAAGTAGCAGGCAGTCAGGATACCAACTATTATGTCCATCTCAGGCTAGGATGTCCCTTCTCATGAATCAGAAATCTTCTGGATCCTACACCCCACTAGGATACGACTTACACTTCCTAAGTATCTATGTATCTTGGTACAGCTAGTGCTTGATTTTCAAGGAGATCTAATGCAAAGCTTCAAAAGTGATGGGGGATAAGAGGAATCTCCACCATTTTAATTTGATGGGAAGCAGGGGGGAAGGGAAAGATAGCCAAACCTCAGATCCACAGAAACTGAATTTTGAGATGGGCTGGATTCCAGCTCTTTGAGTCCAGGGCACTTAAGGAGGTATAAACAGTGCTCCAAGAGTTACTGTTAATGAAAACAGATTTAACCTTTTAAACTAATTAGGGCTTTGCAAAATAAATTACCCTTAGTTTCCAAATTCAGCAAAGCATTTCCATTCCTTTCTCATAAAATGGGAATCATCTTAAGCCCATGATTAAAATTAAGCAGTGTTGTTGGCTGATTTCAGCCAACTGGAGATCCTGATAACAATGGCTTATCTTCTTAAAAATTGTTGTGACTTCACTATCTATGGCCTTTGCTACTCATGACCTGAGTCCACTAGGGACAGTATCTAGGCAAGTGCACAGTAACATCAGATGAACAGAAAGACTTTTCTGTTCTTTCTTAGTCTCTGCTTGCATCACATCAGAATATAAATCAAAGCTAAAAAACCTGTAACCCCCCCCCCAAAAAAAAGAACAAAAACCCCACAAGAAAACACCAACAAAACCCCCCTCCACACCATGAGAAACAGCATGAGTAGCTGAAAAACTTCCAAGAAAACATCACTCCTCTGCAGTTTATGGTATGCACTCAAAATGGAGATTTCTAAAAATATCCTGGGTTGGAAATTCCTAGAGAAAAGGATTCCTGCCCATAAGAAGCATGACAGTAAAAATATACAGTGTAATGTTCGCAGCAAAAGGAGGGAGAGCTGATACCTTCACTTATCCCAGGAGCAGAGGGGAAGATCCCTTCTTCAAACTAGCATGTTGTGAAGCCCCTACATGGCATCTAGTGGCATTTCTAGTTCTTGACATGGGAAAATTCAACCAAGAGAGGTTATGGCCAAGGCTGTTCTCATGCATGTAACTGGGAGCTGGAGTAAAGTCTAGCCCTTTCTGGACACTGGGTGGCAGTCCATCATTAATATTATAGCTCAGCATGACAAGTATAAAAAAAAAATGCACCAGAAACACATGTGAACCATCTATTACAGTCTGATTGGAACTCCACAGCAGCATTTAATGGTTGCTTGGGAAACATCAATAAATTCTGTGTCGCTGAAAATAAAAACTATATAATCCAGCACAAATGCTCTTCCATTAAATAGCTGGGCCATACAGAATACTTTCTTGTGACTTGAGTCATGAATTAAAAGATTACGATACCTCCCCTATTTTTTAAAGGGCAATTTACACTTATATGACTAAAGATAAGCGGTAGAGAAACTTGCCCTGACCACAGGCAAGGCCCTTGTGAAGCAGGCTATACCTCCTTGGACCTGCACAGTCTCCTTCCCCACCCCACATTAGTGGTAACTGGAGCATGCTGGTGGGAATGCTTCTCTGCACAGCACTATGCCAAAGGCCCAGAAGCTGAGTTACATCTTAATGTGGTTGTGAGTATTTGGACTGCCCTTTTCTTGCCTCTCCCTGGTGTACTGTAAGGTAGAAGAGGAGGTGAATAGTTCAGCTTTTTGCTCTGTTCAAAGAGAGAAGGCTGGAGCTAGTTTGCTGTTACTAGTGGGGGAAAAAGGGGCAAAATGATGTAAGTTTAAAATGTAACATAATTTTTTAAAGGCACAGATATTACAGGATCCAAATGCATTATGCCTTTATACAGCAGGAGATTAATTTCACTTTTAAGCCAATAAAAAGCTTTCATAAACCTCTAAACCCAGGAGCACATAATTCAAATATTCTAGCATGCAACAGGTGAATTTTTAGACTAAAAAGAGCAGGGATTTTAGAAGTAGCTCTTCTAGCTTCTAGAGGTTTCTGGTCCCAGTCATGGTGTAATGAGGGAAGCATCACGAGATCAAACTCTAGAGGTTAAATATAGTAAGCACCTTTCCTACCCTGCCTAGTCTCAACTTCCCTTGTTTTTTCATGGTTACACTCAGTCTGTCCCAATTCCTTCTGTGAGGTGATAGGCAGCAAAGGAGGTTGGGCTCATGTATGAATGGTTTCTGTCTGGCATTTCTTTATACAACTTTTCCTCTGTGCTTTTGTCCCTGCAGGCCATGGCATGGATGGGATGCCTCTTGGCATGTCTCTCTTAATAGGCAGCCCACCTGTCTCCTTATGTGTATCCTCATGTCTTCTTCCCTAGCAGTTGCTGCTCTTTCTGAAATATGTTTGAGTAGAGGTGCCATGTGCTTCTCTGGCTGAAGTTCTGGCTCATGCCTGGCTGCTTACATGAGTTTGAGTTGACTGGCACATGGCAGTTCATGGTGTCTTCCCATATAGGTCACCACTACAGCCCTTGCTGCCTGAACTCTGACGTTTATGCCTAACACAGCATCCATGTATGAATGTGCATGAAAGCAGTAAACCCTGCAATTTTTGCCTAATATAAATACAAAGGTATGTGAACTGTTGTCCTGATATCTAAAACTGCTCAGGTTTTACAAGCTCTCTAAGAATTGATGGATTGTTCCACATGGATGTGCCATTCCTAAAGAGTGGGGATGTGACTTGTCTGGAAGGTCTTAAACATTATTGGATTCCTTTGCTTATGTAAATACACTCTGAGAAATCTCAAATGAAGGGAAGGAGGAGGCACACACTCTGCTGCCTGCCTTGAGAGCTGACTAGACCCAAACAGCTTGGGTGTATGGGCTGACAGCAGGCCACGTCGTCAGAGCACTGTGCCCAAGGAAACATAGCCTCTTTTTCTCTGGAGGCTTTTTAACTGCAAATAATGACCCAGACTTTGCCACAGATTGACTAAAACAGAGATTAAATGACTTGCCCAAAGTCAGATAGTCTAATCTAATCTGCAAGTCAGGATAATGTTACCTCTTATCTCTGCAATAATTGAATTGTAAAACCTTGTGCAAATTTTCTGTTACTATTATATAATTTGGCACAAGGGTACTTCCAGACTCTAGAGCAGCTTTTCCCTGCAGGTGCACAGGTAACACAGATGATTTTGCAGTCACTGAGTTGCTGGTTTGTTCTGTTTAATCTGTGTGTCCACCTTCCATAGAACTGTAGTGTACTGCAGGTAAAAATTGGCTTAGCACTGTTTTCTTATTCCCCTCTTTTTCATACTGCAATAAAGGGAGAATTTAAGGTGCTCTGACAGGTGCCATCTCTGATTCTTTACTGGGATCCAGGAAGGAATCTTAGGATGTAGATACTGAATCTCCTTGAACAGTGTCATGTAATGCCTATGCAAGAGTCAGAGCGCCCTTCTGAGAGATGGCTTCTATAAACATAGCACTGATTGTATGAACCTGCCTAAACGTGACCCCAGACTAAGACCTGCAGTGTTGGCACACTCTGTTAAGCAGCATTCAATAGCTTACCAAAAACCATGGAGTTACAGAAGGAAGTCTCTGTCTTGCAGCACACTTTCTTAGCTGGAAGATTTATCGGTTTACAAGGGAATAAGAATGAGTCAAGGAGTCCATGAAGGCTCTGCAGAGTCCATACAAAAGAGAAAAACTGCAGCAAAGAGGTGGGCTGTGCAGGGAGAACTTTACTTGTTTGTACAACTGCTTACGGGTTATACTGCCCAGCAAAGCAACTTTGGCTCCTTGGTGAGGCCAAGCAGTGCAAAGCAGCACCAGAGCCCAGGAGCTAGCAAATGATTTCTGGTTTGAAACCTGAGTGGACTGGGGAAGAAGACTGGGCACAGACAAAAGACATCTTTGGCAGCCAGATGACAATCCCAAAGGAAAGTGCTAATCTAAGGTAAAATTCACACTGTTGTACCTAGCTTGTGGTCTTGAATGCTACCTGAATGCTTACGTTCTGCCATAACAAGGAGATACATCAGAGTCTACTCTAAGATGTTGCCAGCTGTCATCCACATATCCACAACCACTGCTGGTCTAACAGTAGTGACTGCTTTCCATAGAATGAAGTTCCTTCCTTTCTTAGTATGGGAGCTGGAATAAACAGTAGCTATAATAACAGACCCCCACACAATATGATCTGCGAGCAGCTAAGAGATGTGTTGCACTCTGCAGCTTTGACACACACCCTCAAGAAAAAGACTAGAAGCAGGAATTAAGTACCCCTTCGATAACTACAACTGCACATGGAGGCTTTACACCTCATTATGATGCTGAAAGGCCACCCACAAGGCTAGAAGCTGTAATGGCAGATGTGAGAAGGGAAGAGTTCAACACGTTTACTCTAAGCGAGGAGAGAAATAATCCACATGCGGACTGCATTCCCAGAATGCCAGTCCAATGCACTGCATGCTGGACCAGGCCGCTACAGTTAAGAGAGATCTTCACTGAGACTCCCATTAGATGCTGAACAAATCACTCACATTTGCAGAACTCTGCCTGTGTGTTGTTGAGGGCCTCATGCTGTAAATCTCAATGATCTCTTCAATAGGAATGCTGTTCTGTGAAGACAGGTAGATATTCAGCTTCCAGAAGTAGTATTCCTTAAAATGAATGTATGAAATCCAGCTCACACCACCTTCCTTTGATCTCTGAAACAGCTTTCATGTGAACTCCTAGTACTGTTTCATGCTGCTAGTACAAATCTTGAGAAACTTGCTCACCATTTTGCACTGGGGCGAGACAAGATAAGTAACATATAACCACACACACACACACACAGGACCACCTACTGGAGCTGCCTACTTTGTTTTCTTAGGCTGTGCAAATCTTAATGGCTACCTGATAAAAATGAGATGGATTTGCAATATTTACACTGTCTGCATATTGTGCTTTCAATGAACAAAGACATCCAGAGTACAGGGAGTGTTTCTAGAGAGGTGTCATAGAGCAAAAGATATTGCTATCTTTCTTGCCCTCTTACCATTAATATTCCAGCATATGAAGATAATATCATAGCTTCTCTCTCAATTCGGTTGGGATACGTGTATCGGTTGTGAGCTGCAAAATTCCTGTATGGTGTTTTGAACAAGGAGATTATTAGCCTGGTGTTATAAAAACATAAAGTAGTTCTGGGCTTGATTCACTGCTGCTTTTACTCCATTTTCACACTGGTGTAACCCACTGCAACGACAGGGCTTTAGCTTTGCAATACTCACGGTTTCTCTCTTGGTAGTGCAGTCTGAGCATCCAAGCCACTTAGCCACAGCAAAGCAACACTGAAGGCTAAGTTGTAATGGACCTGGAAAGACAGAAGAACCTTATGTGTTTTGTTTTACTGTAATTGCCTGACTGAGGGATGTCAAAGACGGGAGAAATACAGGGAAATGTGAGCTGGAGCCCAGTATTGTCTCAGCTACACTGGGTACCTCACCAGTTGTAAGACACTTGGTGAGGTTTGAGGGATTTTAAACACACCCAGAAATCACAGAATCATAGAATTTCTTCTCAATATCTAACCCAAACCTACCCTCTTCCAGTTTAAAGCCATTGCCCCTTGTTCTATCACTACCTGCCCTTGTAAAAAGTCCCTCCCCAGCTTTCTTGTAGGCCCCTTCAGGTACTGGAAGGCTGCTATAAAATCACCCTGAAGCCTTCTCTTCTCCAGGCTTAACAGCCCCAGTTCTCACAGCCTGTCCTCACAACAGAGGTGCTCCAGCCCTCAGATCATCCTCGTGGCCTCCTCTGGACTTGTTCTAACTGGTCCATGTCTCTCTTGTGATGGGGGCTCCAGAACTGGACACAGCACTCCAGGTGGGGCCTTACGAGAGCAGAGTAGAGGGGGAGAATCACCTCCCTCGACCTGCTGGCCACACTTCTGATGCAGCCCAGGATACGGTTATTGGCCTTCTGGGCTGCAAGCTCATGTTGAGCTTCTTGTCCACCATCTCCCCCATTGCCCAGCCTGTATTTGTGCTTGGGATTGCCCCAACCCAGGTGCAGGACCTTGCATTTGGCCTTGTTGAACTTAATGAGGTTTGCACAGGCCCACTTCTCAAGCCTGTCAAGGTCCCTCTGGATGGCATCCTGTCAAAAAAGTCATTGAGCACCTCAGCCTTCTCAGTGTCCTGGGTGACCAGATCTTCTGTTGGCTTCCAGAGAGGGCCCACATTTTCCCTAGTT